GTCGCCCACAAAGATAAGAAGAAGAGGTACAGATTAGCAAGTAGATAATTCACAAAGAAAAAGCTAAGTAGATCAATTGTAGCCATCCATTGTACTAAATGTAAATAGAGTGGTCACAATAGTAGAAGTTGAGGGCAATAAAAAAGAAAAATAAGCTTTTTTCTACTCAAGTACTTGAAGTAGAGGTTAACTTACAATACAACGTAATAACACAGGATGTTTTCCATCTTCAGGAATTAAATTCAGACAACATGAATGAGTTAGTAAGTAAAGATATTGCACTTTTACATTTGATTTAATTTTTTGGGAAATGAACTAACATTTTTTTTTTTTTAATCTATTCATTCTCTCCAATCGGAATATCTAAATCAAAATTGTAGCTAGCAGAAAAGACCAATGTTGAATGTGTGCACACAAGGATCATCAAACAAAAGGCTGGTGGTAAGTTAGCAAACATAATTTAATAAATACCTATACAATTCAAATTTTATAACTACTAATTTGATATTATGTTTGTTAGCATGTTCCTACATCCAAAAGAAAGAAGATCAGGTAGATGAAGCTTGGAGGATAACATACACAATGAATTTTTTTTGTATAAACTTGTATTGACACATTTTGAAAGACATCATCAAGGTACTTCTTTGTAACATGATTTTTTAGTTTTATGGTGAATTTTTTGCAAATAACTTTGAAGCTCCAATCATCTAAAAATAACCCTCGAGTTGGGGTTTCATAATGAGTGTTTTTATGTATCATCGTCCATACTTCCATCTTGGTTCAAACCTCAATGTAGCATTTGTTCTACATCTTCAATTTATTTGAAATTGTTTTGCCTTTATAATAAATCTTTGATTATAATGTGTTATATTTTTTTGTTGTATTTATATTGCTATTTCAAGAATATTAAATGCAACACTTGATACTCTTGAGATTAAAAAATAGAACAATATAAGTAATGTAATATCTCTTTTTATGTAGTAGATTAAAAATTATTAAAATGCATTTTATTTTATATTAAAATATGATAAAAAAGGAGTAACATTAGATTTTTTTTTTAATTTTTTTTTTCACACCCTTAATATGTAGTAAATTAAATATATACTATAATTTATTAAATGAAAAAATATAGCAATATAAGTAATGTAATCTCATATTCACTTATAATACTTAAAACACCCTTCATCTTTAACTCTTATTTTAGGCTCGGAGACCAAATTAACTCAACTTTTAATAGTCGAGGGACTAAAATGGGGAGGGACTAAAATGGGGCAAGGCTTTAATAATGAAGCTTAAAGAGAACAATTTGCTTTAGTAAAAGAATGAAAGTTATTGGAGTGATTGATAATATATTATGCACAAGTATTGCAACAAAATGGTATTAGAGCTAATAATTTGATCATTATGCTGATTTAATGTAGGACATGTTCATTAGATTAATTAAAAAATAAAATAATGATCCATATTAGAAAGGATCTAGTAAGTTATTGTTTCAAACAAACACAATAATTGTCATGAGGTTCAAAAAATAAATTTTCGCATTCGATGGGAGGCATAAAATGAATCAATAATTTGTAGACTTTCTTTGAACATGAACATTCATTTAATTGAAAAAAGGTTAGATGTTGAAAAAAAATTTCTTGGACATGCTCAATTATTCTGATGAAGAAGTGTTCCAAGTAGAATCAAATTAATATGGACAACCATGAAACACATGCTTAAAGAGAAATATTGACCATTTGGTGAATATTGGTATAAATTAAATAATCAATTTTAGAATTGCAAACAGATAGATCCTAGTGTATTTGAATCCTGAAAGGTTTATACATCTTGAAGCTACAAATAATTAACCTAAAATCTATTTTGTTTCCACTGCTTATTTTATGTGAGATTATAAACAAACTAAGTTATCATTCACCACAAATACTAATTAAAGCTTTATCTAGATTTTTGTGTATTGAGGAAAATTATGAGTATTTTATTAGGATTGTTACATCTAAGGGCAAATCAATAACATCTCATTTAAACCATATGATAAAATCTCATAATCCATTGTCTCAGGTTGTCGTGGATCTTGTCCATTTGTTAGCAATTGTAGTCAATCCAACATGTCCAAAAGAACGTCATCAACAACAATGAGTTATGTCTTCTAGGAGGACCTTGTAGACCCAAAGTGAATGATTGCCTAAAGGGACAATTTTATGATGAAATTAGAGACTTGAGGGCTTTGTTCCCTATCAAACACATCTTATGATTCAGAACTCAATGAGCTAAGCTATTGGAGAACTTTCAAGCTTTAGCAATAATCTTAATTTAATAGCGTTATTTTGCAGCAAACCATCCACTGAGAGAGCCTTGGTCGTAATCTTAATCCAGAGGTGCAATTTTCCATCAAACCACCTATTCGGAGGACATGTATCACGTCCTTATTAGCAAGAAATTTTCGAGAATGATCATAAAGATACACTTAATATGACATTGAACTTTATGAGCTTAGATTATCTAACATTTATCACCCTCGTAAAACTATTGTAGATGATGGATGGATATGAATAGTTGTTTTAAGGTTGAAGCACCCATATTATGCTTGATCATATTGATTTTTTATAATCCAAATTAGTTTGTTTTGATATTTGAAGGGCATTTTGATAGTAAGGACTCCTATGGTCGAGATTGTTTTATTAACCCACCATCATCAAGGAGAGACAGGTTGGATTATTTGTATTTGTAAATTGAGAGCTTGAATTTAAAATAAAATACCATTCAAATATAATGTGTGATAAACATGTCAAAAATAAGGGTAAAATTGAAATGTGTTATTTTGAACCTTGTCAACTATGTTTATTTGCTTATAGAGAATCAGGTTCATAATTTGCATATCATTTGAGTTTATTTGCATATTTATCAAATTTCATGTTTTGAAATATATAGAGGATCAAATATGTCAATTAGAACTTATCAGTGCTACATAGGAGCTCAAAAGTTTACAATTTAAAATGATTTTTTTTTTTTGGATTAAAGGCCTTGAAGATATTATACAAACAGAAGGCAAAATAACATAATAGATATAATGGTTAAGTACTTATTTTCAATCCGTGATTATATAAATTTGTTGTATTAGACAATGAGAGAAAATTTTTAAAATCATTTTTGTGATGGAGAAAAGGATCAAAATGGTCCATTAACTCTTTATGAAGGATAAAAATAATCTCAAACTATATTAAAAGATCATTTTGGTCTCTCAAATCTTCAAAAATGAACCAAAATAGTCTCATCCTCGTTAAGGAGTTGGGCAATATCTCGAACTCGTCCCATGAACAGAAAGGAGACGTTAATTGAAGTCACAGAAGCTGAAGGAGGGTCGATTTCATCATTTTAGGTGTTGTTGGAGAAGACGAAACTAATCGATGTCGTTTCGCGTGGCTTGGAGATGCATAACCGAATTAGCGAGTCACGTGAGAACGAAGAGGTCAAAGCATTCTGTTGGCTGGGAGACGAAAGAATGGGTTTGTCGTTTCATTTTCATGAGGAAGGCGACGAGCTTCTATCGTTTGAAGTCATAGAGCTTGTCAAAATAAAAATTGAGAGGAGAGAGAGAGAGATTGTACTTTAGCGGCGAGCATGAAAGAGAAGAGCCGGCAAAGAGGCTAGGACACGGGCGAAATTCAACTTAAGGATTAACAGGTGGGTTTTCTTATTTATAAAAGTTTTGTCTAAATCTGGATTATAATTAAAATTATTAGATTAAAATGTTAATATATTCACAGGTCATAGTTTAAAGCAATTAATCAAAGAATCTATTAACTTTTGTGATTAAAAATTATACAAGAAAATCAAAATTAAATAGGAATGACCTCAAAGACTAAACTGTAATAACAAGTCTGCCATTAGCATTCCTTACAAGTTACAACCCTGTAAAACATGATTAAACCAAAAAATGGAGCTGGATAAATACTTTAAATAGGAATTCAATTCACTGATATATTCACAAAAGGACTTTGCAAATCTGAATTCAGAAATATTCTAGAAAAGCATCGAAAGATAGGCATCTACCAACCAATTTAAGGGGCAGTGTTAAAGAATGCAAGAACCACCTCACGGATCCAACGGGATTGTTGGCCAACTACAGCAGAAAAGAAAGGATATCAGAAACAAATTGGTCAGCTGGGCCAAAATAAACTGGTGTCCCACAATATGGGAAGGTGTCACGCAATATGCCTTGCTGGCAGCATCAGGAATGAAAGGTAGAGTCTCACGGATTGGCAACATAGAATCCCATGGATGTGGATGAACAAAATTATATTCCTCGTTTAAAACATTCATTTAATACTCTTCATAGAATTGTATAGATTTCTAACATGATCTAGGCAATTCTTTGCAAGTCTTTAGCCATTCTCCAGTTTTCAACATATTCTGATATCCATAGTTGTTCTAACTGTATTTTACAGCACGTAGAACTCTGGAATCTCGCAGACCTGCTGACCCTCGGCAATGTTGGTCTTTATTAACAATCAAATAAGACTTCTTACAATCTCAATCTGTGGAATACTAGAATTTATGGGCTCCAGTATACTGAATTGGATAAACATGCATTGAAATACTTTCCAGGTCATGTATAACAAAGGGATCAATAAATATTAAATAATGCTAACATTAAATCTTTAACAACAAATATGATCGAGTGAACGTGAGATGATAAAGTTCATAAATTTCTTTGTTACATTAGCAAAGATCTTAAAGAGTGGATATTCATGCATACAGAATATTTTTAATTGACTCAATAATAATGCACAAACAGCTGGAGATAATGTTCAAGTGTCCACATCAACACATCAGATATTAATGCAATTATTGATGTTTTCATCTTACAAGTTAACCGGTTCAAATTTTATGGCTTTTCATGAGTCATAAAATAAAGTGGACAACAAAAAATAGAAATAAAACAGTTTAGAAGGCACAAAAAGAAAACACAATATAAGGTATAAAGAAGAAAATAATACCTGTGCCTTCTGTGAAGGGGTTACACGACAACAAATTGCTGTTCTTGATAAAGTAGCCAATTCAGTGAAAGAACCCCTATGATGTTTCAAGATAATTTCAAGGGCCACACCATCCACCACAAATGCTAATTCCTTTTGCCAAAAAAAAAAATATATCAGCATAAATTTTTTTAGAGGTTTGCAAGGTAACTGTCACATTCTTGGGTAGTTCATGTTGCACGTTTAAATGGTAGTTCATGTTGCACGTTTAAATAAGAAATTATGCCAATTGAAATACTAGAATTCATGATTAAGTTGCCCTCCTATAGCATAACGTACAAATATTAAAAGGTTAACATGAATCTCACGTAACGTTATAAAAGAAGATAAACTCAGTCTTAAAAAGTTAATTCAACACCAAGTGCACGGTATCATAAATCTTTATCTACGGTAGTCATTATTGGGTCAATTTCAATTAGATTCATACATTTAGACTTATATTTCAATGGGATTGATCATTTTTCAATCCACTAGGCCGAATATTTTACTAATTCTATTTATATAAGAAAAGTGTGGATCAAAGGAGGGGATGAAGTACACGTGATGTAGAACGGAGGGGGTGGGGGAAGATAATAAGATTAAAAATTTGAAATTAAATTTCAGATTTCCTCTAATCAAGGGATTTAAATTTTGAAATTCAAATAAGATGGAGGGAAGGATAAATAGGTGGTTAATTATTTCCCTAATTAAATTCCTTAACAAGACAACAACAACAACATCAAGCCTTTATCCCACTACGTGGGGTCGGCTACATGAATCTTTTTTCTCCATTGTGTCCTATTAAAAGTCAAATTCTCGTTTAAATCTAATAAAGAAAGGTCATTCCTAATATTTTCTAACCAAGTCTTTTTAGGTCTACCCCTACCTTTCTTAACATAAGTCAAATCTAATACCTCTACTCTCCTAATCGGGTCATCGCAAGGCCGCCGTTTTATGTGACCAAACCATCTAAGGCGACTTTCTCTAATCTTATCTTCTACTGGAGCTACTCCAACCTTTTCACGTATATGCTCATTTCGTATCCTATCTCTAAGGGTAAAGCCACTCATCCACCTGAGCATCCTCATCTCTGCCACACTTAACTTAGTATTATGCTTCTCTTTTAAAGGCCAACATTCGGCACCATAAAGCATTGCAGGCCTCACTACCATCTTATAGAATTTTCCCTTAAGTTTGAGGGGTACATTTCTATCACATAACAAGCCCGATGCATTCCTCCACTTCAACCATCCAACTTGAATTCTGCTGATAATATCCCCATCTATTTCACCATCACTCTGAACAATAGATCCAAGATATCTAAAACGTGTACTCTTATTAATGACTTGATCGCCCAAAGTCACAATCCCCTCATTAGGTCTATTACTACTAAAATTACACTCCATATATTCCGTTTTAGATCTACTCAAGCGAAAACCTTTAGACTCTAAGGTTGACCTCCATAATTCAAGTTTACCTTCAACTCCCTCTCTAGTCTTATCAACAAGAAGAATATCATCAGCAAAAAGCATACACCAAGGTACATCCTCTTGCAAATGTCTAGTGAGAACATCCATGACTAAAGCAAAAAGATATGGGCTTAAGGCTGATCCTTGATGTAACCCAACCGAAATAGGGAAATACTTGGTCAATCCACCTTGTGTTTGAACACAAGTAATAGCATGCCTAATGATGAGGGAAAAGAAAATGTGTCCACATACAATGTATGTGGACTCATGCATTAATGGGAGATTGGAGAGTTAAAAGTGAAATAATTTCAAATTTAATATGATTGAAGGATTTCCTAAAAAAGATGTAGGTTATTTAAGAAAGAATTTAAAATTCAAATTTATTTGAATTTGAATTCAGAAACTTTCCAAATAAGATGGGAGCTAATTTAGGAAAGTAATGATGGTGCAATGAAATTGGAATCAAGGGAACTTGAATGGTGGGCCGGTGATGGGGTGTAGAGGAAACATGGCCGACAGTGGGGGGTTTTGAGGAGGTTGTAGCCGGCAGGTTGGGTGGGGGAAAACGCTTGGCCGGTGGGTTGTAGAGTGGCCGACAGTTGGAGGTGGGGTAAAGAAAGGGTGGTGGTGTTCGGCTTAGAGACTGGGAGGAGGGAAGAGGGAAGAGGGAAGCTTGGCTGGCGGCTGTGGAGGGGGTAAGGCTGGCGGTCAAGGGAGAAGGAGAAAAGGAGTTAAGGGAAAGAAAGATAAAACCGTGAGTCTGGCCACTTCCTGCGGCTGACAGGTGATGTGTTTCCCTTCACCAAGGGACTTCAAGCCATGAGCCTGGCCCATCCTGCGACTGGTGGAAACTACGGTTCCCTCTGATAGGGATCTCACCTAAGTCCTCCCAAAACATAAAAGTGCAGAACAAAATTTTTATTAAAACTCCATCATCATTACACTAGAAAGGGCCTCTATATATAGGCCTAAGAAATAAAAGAAACTAAAATAAGACGATCATGCCCCTATGGCTTACATAAGATTAGACCCTTAAGTAAGTGTAAAAACGGAAATGCATAATTAAAATAAAAATTACAAATAAAAATTTAAGATAACGTAGGACGATTACGGCCGTCGATCTTCAGCTCCTCGGATGCATGGACGGTTAGATGTCCGCATCAACATGTCCTTACCCATTATTGTTGACAGATTTTTGTACTTTCATTCAATCAACTCCAACTCAAATTTAGCGCAACCTATCAATGTAAGCTTGCTCTCTAATAATATTTTATAGGTACATCAGTTTATAACAACTCTTTAAACCTACCCTGGTTCTGGGATCAAGCTAGAAATGTGATGGGACAATGCCCTTACTTACAAGATTGAGAAAAAAAATGACATGTACAATATCCAAGCATTATTATATAATGAAGGCATAGCTCCACTCTTCACTCGACTACCAAACCAATCAAATTCCTTGTTCTCACATTTCAACATCCCCTTTCTATACCTACTCTCATTTTATTTTCAAAAAGAGGAAAAAACAATACACAAGCTCTCATTAGGGTTGACACACCAGTATAGCCTATGCCCACTCTGTGGTCAGCCATGCTCCTTAGCTTCACTTCTTTCCTTTGCTTCACCGTTGCTCATCCGCACTATATGCATCCTTCACAATCAACACCCTCCTCACTCACTTATCCATTGAGCTCATAATTAGTGTTCGTCATTGCCTCTTGCAATCAGATGCGTATGGCGGCTCATTCACTAGCGCCTTTGCAATAGGGAGGCTAAACAAAATTCCATTAAAAAAAATGAGTACTCATGTGTGTATAACTATAATACTCAAATTTTATATTGGCTATCGACTATCTAATGTAACCCTCCATTTTTCTCATCTAGGACTTAGGACCAGGCAAAGACATGTTAATTTATAAATTTATATGTAAATTAAATTTATATTGAATATGATTCAAATTTAAAAATTTAATGGGTTTAAATTTAAAATTATAATTTTTTTGTATATATATGATTTTTTTAGTCACAATTTTATATTAATGCATGATTATCATACCATTATCATTTCATTAGATAATATTTAAATAATTTTAGTATCTATTATGTCATTTGATTCAACCCCGGGCAAAACATTCTTCCGGTTCAATGTCCTGTCCGGTTTTAACAACCTTAGTTTTATCTAATCCAATCTACCTTCTAAAAAGTAAACCCAAATTCACTCATTATTTTTAGGATGTTCTCTATTGTAAGCTTTAACAATTATTTTGTTATGTTTCTTTTTAAATAATTTTTGTGGGATCAACTTAAAATAATTGAAAGATTTCATAGTTGTTCTAAAAAATTGCGAGATGTGATTGGAAAAAAATGAAAGAGCTTTCTACAAATTATATGGAACTAAAAAGTTCCGCTAAGTAGAAATGAATGCTCTAACTTTCATTTGTCAAACAAGATTTTCTAAGTTCTTGTTTAGTCCAGTTTATTGTGTCCATTCATCTACTAGATAATGCAGGTTGATGCCGCTCAAACAAATTCTAAACCTAGTAAAAATACGAACTTCAGTTAGTAAAACGGATGCGATGTTGAAAACTAGAAATTACTGAAAGGGTGATGTAAACAAGATGTGCAACCCACCATGATAGGTAAAAATTTAAATAAAGAGTCTCCTTGTTCATAGTGAAATCACAATGTCTGCCCTACTGTCCGAGTTAATTATTCAGTGTTAAATGCTGATAATGTTGAATGTTTCACACATCAACAAATAAATTACCTTTGGTTCTGAGGAGGTTATCTTCATTGTACGCAACACCATTTCTAAGCTTCTGAACACTTCATCTTCTGTCCTCCCATTAAGAAACAAAAGTTGACCTCTGGGCTCTGTCCAAATAAAGAGAATAACGAACACATAACAAGAATTAACCTAATATGCATAGATTGAAAAGTGAAAATAAAATTGATTGTCAAGCTTTTTGCAGCAATATAAACTCATAGGTGAAGAAATAAGAACTTGACAAAAATTTCCTTACAAATATTTTAGACAAAACAAAAGCTGAGTGGAGATTAAGTGATGCGGACATCCAACCGTCTATGGCTATCCAAGGAGCTGAAGATCAACGGCTGTCATCATCCAACGTTATCTTATATTTTATATGTAATTTTTAAATTTTTATTATAAATTTTCCGTTTTTACCCTCACTTAAGAGGGTCGTCCTATGTAAGCCTTAAGGGCATATGTGTCTTGTTTTAGTTTCTTAGGCCTATATATAGAGGCCCTTTCTTGTATAATGAGATGATGAATTGATAATGAAATTTTATTCTACTTGTTTGATCTCTTAATGAGTTCATGAGAGGAGAAAGATCTCTTTGTGAGTTCCGAGATTCCCAAGATCTCTTTGTGAGTTCTTAAGGAAGTGGAAGGATCTCTTTGTGAGTTCCGAGATTCACAAGATCTCTTTGTGAGTTCTTGAGGAAGTGGCGCTTGTAGATCTCTTTGTGAGTTCTATTGGAGGTGTTGCTCGAGGTGTGTAGCTCCGGATTTTCTTTTTCCTAAACCCAATTTATTTCTTCTCTACCTAACCAAATTCTCTTCCTCCCAAATCCCCTCCACCGGCCCCCATAAGTCCACCGCCGGCCACCCCAGGCCAATCCCGCCACCGGCGGCTCCGCCGGCCTCCTTGGGACGGCCAAGCCACCGGCCTCCCTCTTGGGAATTTCAAATTTGAAATTCAAATTTGTTTCCAAGAGGCATTGAAGACTTTCCTAAAATAGTTCCTTGATTTAAGGCTTTCATATTATTTGGATGTCAATTTGAATTTGAAATTCAAGTTAATTCTAATTGATAGCCCCATTATTGGAAACTTTCCTTTCTTTCAAAATCTGAATTTTAATTCAGATTTTATTAAATCTTTGATTAGTAACGTGGGCCCCACTCTACTTATGACAAATAATCTCCTCCCTCTCTCTATGTGGCAGGCCCCCTCATTGGGCATAATCTCTCTCATATCTCATTAATCCTCCCTAATTACCTCCCACAATTCCCTCTCATCCAATTTAATTCTCCCCATTAAATTTGAATTTAAATTCAAATTCATCCAGTCAATTCCACTTAATATGAAATTTAATTTCAGATTTTCATTCTCTCTCCCCAAATTGATTTGGGATTTAATTAATCTTGCCAACTAGACAAGTAAATGGCATTTACGTTTTACAACATTACGAGAGCGTGTAACCATATTTTGAACTTAATACGCAGCATCTCAATTCTTTAAACCCGATACAATCCTAGGTGCAAGCATGAATCAATTCTTACATAAAATAAAACAACGTGCAAGTTACAAATAGGTCTGCAAAGTCAAAGTGTCACCTCCCATTGAACCACATGTTTAAAACATAGCAGTTGGGTTCTTTAGTTTGATTAAGCACGTAGAATTGATCCTTCCATGACTGATCTGTCAAAAATACTTCAGGTTCTCCATCACTAATAAGATGAATTGGGGGACCTAACTGAGACAAACCGTCAGAGATTGTGGGTAATTATTTATCCCAACACTTTGCAACTCATGGCCATCAATGAAAACCTGATTGTCGCAGTCTTTGGTGGAGACAACAAAAAGAGCAAGAGTTTGTTAAATAACCCAAGGTATATATATATATATATATACATCCATATATGAAGACCCAAATGCATCGGCAAGCATATACAAACATTTATATTATTACAATCAAGCATTCACTTATCCCATCTTAGCTCTATTATGATTTTTGTCTTTTAAAGATTGCTTGTTGAAACTTGCTCCTCCACCTACCACACACCATGCATTCTTCTACTGTGGAACCCACATGCTAGCCAATGAAGAAGAGGGCCCTAGAGCACATGATTAAGGGCTTTAAACCTTTAGATTACCTCCCCTAGAGCCCTCGAATTGCAATCTGTGTGCTCCCATAGCAGTCAGCCGCCCTTTTTTATTTTTATAAATAGCTTTAATTAATTTCCTTATCTATGACCCTTAGACATGTCTAAATAAACCACAAATCCTTGTAGAAGCATCGAGCAATAAAATTACAATAGCTTTTTCTCCACTTTGCTGATTATATGGTTTTACAGAGAGAAAAACATCCCTAGACAATTGTCATTCTTGCCCTAAGTGCTGCCCGAACCTTAGGTTGCAATTTGACCCTTTGTTGCTCCTCCAAAAATGACCCAAGTTAAATTAGATCCTCCACCTTCATTAGAACGTCAATCAATTCGGAATCCACAAGAAAATCATCTCATTCAAATAACCAACATCTGGTTGAATGGGGATAACTATCTTTGTTGGTCCCAATCAGTTCGGATGTACTTCAAAGAGAAAAGAAAGATCGACTACATCACTGAAGATACAAAGAATCCCAACATGAGGAACCAAACCTACATCATTTGGGATACAGAGAACTCTACGATCATGACATGCTTAGTCAAATCCATAACTGAGGACATAAGTGCAAATTATTTCCATTATTTCACTATCAAAGATTTGTGGGTTAATGTCTCACAAATATACTATGCTTGGGGAATCAATCCCACGTGTACAAGAAACACACAGGGAGAAGAACAATACTTTTTTATTGGTCACCAAAAATGAACCTAGAAAATGATAATCTGAAATGATTTAAAAATTCATTTTCAATCTTACCTGTAAAACCCGAAATCAACAATCGTAGGCGTCACAAGCATTTCAATGCGTTGCGACGAAATTTAAGTAAAAATTTAAAGTTAACGGATTTCGACGGAAATATTTTTATAAAATTCTATGCAAAATTCTGAATGATTTGGTATATAGAATTTAATAGTTAATTTTACTTAATTTTGGAGTTAAAATTTATCAAAATCTTGTAATACCCAATCTACCCCTATTCTTTTCTAAGGTGAATATTGTTTAAGTGACGGCAAACTAGTCATTTGGAAATCCTTATTTCCTTATGTAATAAGAGACATAAATCCCTTCCCTCGTCTCATTCGTTCGGCCAAACCGAGAGGGATGGGAGAAGAGGGCGGACGGGTGAGGCGCACGAGGGCTTCGGCGGGGCGGCTCCGGCGATGATTTTCCGGCGAGAAAATTTGAGGAAATCGTAGAGGAGACTAAGGGGAAGAAGAAGGTATGTTTAATTTAAGCATTTCTCCTCTCATTCTCAAGATTTTTGGAAGAGAGGTTTTTATGGTTTTTCAAAAAAATTTATTATTCTTTCAAAATCTCTTCAAGAAATTATTAAGGATAGGGAAGATGTTTTAATAGTAAAAACGAAGTTTTCTACATGAATTTTTGTGATTTGAAAATTAGGGTTTTTGTCAAAAATTGAAATTTCTTTAAGTGTTTTTACAAAAGTGATTTCTAAGGGACTTAAGAATGATTTTAAAACAAAATTTTGAATTTTCTTAAGAATTTGTATTTTTTATTTTTCTAATTAAATAAATCCGAAAATTAATTAACTTAATTATTAATTAGGTTTAGGAGAATATTTGGCTTGATGATTTGATGAAAATGATGATTTAGGATTTCCAAAAATTAGGGATTTTAATAAATCCGAAAATATAAATTAAATTATTTTAATTTCATTAAGTGTCATAAGGATCGAATAATGAGAAGTGAAAAGTTTAGACAATTTGAAAATGATTAAAACTTTATGGTAGATTTATAGTTGACACTTCTTTATATGTGATTATTAGGTTGTGATCTTTAAGGGGAGCAAAGCGTGTCAAAGCGACACTATAAGAAAGTGTTGAGCTTATGTTAAGGTAGGTACTCATATCTATCATAAAAATTTCATATATTGTTTAGCTCTTTTTATTCAATTGCAAATATTTAAAGTTTTAACTTTCAGATGGTTTATGAATTCTGTTTTTGCAAATATCATGTTAGTAGATTCTCTTTATTTTAATATATTAGTAAATTTACATGTTATTCATGGTTTTCATGTTTTGAGCTAAAGATTTATGATTCATGATTGTTTTTCATTAAACATATGATTGACTGAACATAGATTATAAGTTTATGATATGAAACTATGCATATTGCTATGGAATGCCCAAATGGTAAAAGGCTCATCATAGCCAATGGTAAAGGAGTGGCCAAATAAATGAAAATGTATACATGATCAGTACAACTCTATGGGCACCTCCGAGACGTGTGTCATAGTAAATATTATGCATATTATGATTTATATATATATATATATATATATATATATTCTATGCAAAAATGAAAGTTTATGTTTGAGAAAATGTTATATGAAAGTTTATGTTTGAGGAAAGATTATGAAAATACTTCTTATACTGAAAGGTTTTGAAATTATGCAATATTGATCATTGTTTAAAGTTTTCATATGAAAAAAATATTTTATTGTGATTTTATGTAAATTTTTATGAGAAATATGAATTACTTACTGAGCGAGTAAACTCACCCCAGGTTGTGGGATTCTTTTTCAGGAGACCATCTAAGAACTGATGGCAGAGATGCAGTTTACTTACCGTCATAGGACTGGACATCAGAGTGACAAGTTGTTCTTTCAGTTTGTGTTTTGTGTGTGTAAGGCTTAGAAGGTGTGTTTTTAAGAACTTTGAATATTGATGTAATGAACTTGTTTAGTTTATGATGCTATGAAAAACTTGTAAAAGTGAAGAACAGTATAAGTATAATTGTGGTTTAGTGGTTCTTTTATGTCTTTTTGGAATGTACTTTGTTATGTTTATGATTAGATAAATGTTAATTTTTACTGTTTAACGTGCGACTATCTGTTCCCGCCCCGTTAATTCGGGCTAGCCGGGCCGGATCGTGACATTACATGTGGATAGAAATAAGGGCCAAAATGATAAATTGAAAATTTTGGCTAAACCAGACAATTGTTTTCCAAAATATTGTTAAAAGCTCTCTAAATTTTATGATTGATTTTTTTTTTTTAAAGAAAGCATGAAGTTAAGGTTTGTGATACTAAATCATGGTGTTTACATAAAGGAACCCGACTAACCCTAAAATCTCCTCTTTAAGTATAATTCTGGAATAGGCTTTACAGGTTGTTTGGCATCCAAAATGCAGCATGAAGCATTAAAGCTATATTATATCCTTCTTCGGGACAAACATTCTAAAACAACTTTATCAATCTCTGGGACACGACTTTTTTTCTCTCTTTGGATAATTTGGAATAAAAGAAATAATAGATTGTCGTCTAATGAAACCTCATACCAGAAGGCGCTATAGTTTGATATCATCTCGCAAACATATTTTTTGCATTTTCAACACTTCCGATTAGAGAAGTCTTGTCAGTTTAAACTGTGTATAATTAAGTCCTTTGTTTTCTGTGAAAATTCACTAATGTTAGCTATTTTTAATCTATACCATTTTCTTTTGTTTTTCGGGAGAAGGGATTTTCATAAGAATTTTGGATGAGATGTTGATAATAAACTTAAAAGTAATGTAGTCGAAGGCAGTGGCGGTGATCTAGAAATGCCAAAGCATTGAATAAAGGAAAAAATAGATTCTTCTCTAGTAAAAGTAGAGATGAGAAGGCAATTTGGTTTGATATCATCTAACTTGCATATTTTTGTATTTTCAAACCAGAAATTTATATCTGATTTCCAACTGCTAGAGAAGCCTACTTCATTTATTTTCTATCGTCTGTAATTTGAGGGATTCAATACTGTCCTTTGTCTTTTGGTGATAATTCGCTCATGGTAATCTTTACTATTTTCTTTTGTTCTAATGAAATGGGATTTTCCTAAGCAAATATGAATGAGACATCGACAATAATAATTAAAATAGATTAAGTCAAAGGTAGTGGCGGTTATGTAGAAATGCTGTCATAGAATTCAAATAGAAAAACAATAACAGTTATAATTATGATGATTTGCATGAATGTGAACATCATGAGAATGCAAGTAACAAAAGATGACGAAGATTATATAATTTTGATGATAATAGTGAAGAATTTTTAATTGTGAGTGGCATGAAATACTCGGAATAACCTGAAGAAATAAAGTTGCATGAAAGAGCAATCTGTATGGCAGTATTTTGTTTATCACCGGTCAACATCCAGAAATTAATTCCTGACTTCCTCAATGTTTCAATTGTTTCAGGCACACCATCCTACTTGAAAACGAAACAAAAATAGATTGTAAGAATATTTATTTCTTTATCACTGACGGAGGCATTAAACCACAAAAATTCAAAAGAATCACGCAAATATAAGCACCTGTAGACGATCCTCAATTGCAGCAACTCCAAGAATCTCAAGATGATGCTCTAACTTTTGGCAAACCTCAGCTAGTTTCCACTACATGACCATGATTAGGAATTATTAGCTGATTATCAATAGGCATGAAGGTGAAAAAAATGGTTTCAATACCTCTCTATCAGTTAATGTGCTGTTAGCCTCTTTGAACATACGAGCCCATTCAACATATTCACATTCATCTAGTTCACGCCAACCAAAACAAAGAGTACGCAAGCCGAGCAGAGCATATTGTTCTACAGCATCAATAAAAGGCCTCAGTTGTTGCCCTGCAAAGAATAGGCACTCCCGTATATATTTACCACAATTTAAATAATTAAAGTAATACAGTCAAAAGCAATTACAATATAATAATAATAATAATAATAATAATAATAATAATAATGACAACGACAACAACAGCAAAATTATAAGAATAATTATAATAATACAGAAAAAATTATAATAGCAGCAGTTACAATGATAGTTAACAAGCAGACGTGTCAGCAGCAAGAGTAAGAAAAGTAGCACAAAAAGAGCACCGCCTCTCAGCAATGGTTAATACCTGAATAGAACTAAAATTTATAAAAAATATAAAAAATAAAAAATAACATCCCCTAGCCATCAACAATCTATAGGAAATCCAAAAGGAACCCTCCATACGGATCTGAACAAAGACAATAGAAAGCTAAGGTTGAAGTCTGCAGAAGTAAACAAGCCACTCAAAATGAGGATAATTTGCAAATATATTTTACAAATTATATCATTGAAGAATATTATTTCACGTTAGAGCTATGGAATAGCCTGGTAGTGGTAATAACATGAGCCAAATGCACATGTGATATTAGAGTTCAGGTTTGTCAAGCTGTCCTGCTCCATTTAGCATGCAAGATTGCTTCTACAAGCAAGAAGAGAAAATTGCATAAAGCTGTTCCATAATTTAGTTGTGATATTAAATCAATAAGTGACGTATTTTCAAACAGAATTTCAACACAGGTCCTGATTAGTCTCTTAAGGAGGGCAAAATATGAAGCGCAACATGTAAAGGATCAATTAAGTTAGCGATCACAAGGATTTAGTCATTAAAAAGTTCCATGGGATGCACCACATGAGGTAGAGAACCTAATGACTGTTATTAATTGCATTGAACTTTGGAGGTCCTCTTAATAACTAATTATTTATTAGAGGGCAGGTTTTATTTTGTTTTCCTTCATAAGGGTAATTTAATAAATTAAGGAGATATAGGTGTAATTTGAAATAGCTAGCTCAATATACAGCACCTGTGATTGAAGAAGAAAGCAACAGAAAAATGGAGCAGGGACTTCAATATACAAAAAAAGAGGTTTATCAAACATAATATCAGTCCTCAAACCAATTCTATAAGGTTATATTCCCATTACCGAGAAGGTAAACAAAAAATAACAAGCTTAATTAATGCAATTACGTATAATGTTAAAAACTATTTAGTAAATATATGACTACGAAAAAGGCAATTGCATCAGAGTCAATCCGCTTCGAAAGAACTCAACTCGAGTTCAAAGATCTTCACGAAACAATGCAAACTCAGAAGTCTTCGAAACACTTATAAGCTATGCCAAAAATCAAGAAAAATAGACAGCATATAAGTCAACCAACTTGCCAACACAAAGCAAGCTTAAGCACTCTATGTTCACTATTAAATCCTTCAGATAATGCCTCAAAAGATAACCAAACTTCATGGTTGACTAGTGCATATGCCATTTTTCTTCCCAAGTCATCCGTGTGATCTTCTTCCAAATTTTCTTCAAAATTATTATAGATATATTCAATTCGGGTTTTATCCCACTATTGGCATGTTCATCTTTTTCACCCATACTCATTTTAAATGAGATGTTGATGCGGACATCCAACCTTCCATGCCTATCCGAGGAGCTGAAGATCGATGGTCGTGATCGTCCTACGTTATCTTAAATTTTTATTTTAATTATGTATTTTTCAATTTTACCCTTACTTAAGGGTCTAATCTTATTCTTATGTAAGCCCTAGGGGCACGATCGTCTTATTTTAGTTTTTTTTATTTCTGAGGCTTATATATAAAGGTCATTGCTAGTGTAATGGTATGATAAAGTTTTAATAAAATTTTATTCTGCACTTGCTCCTTGGAAGGACTTAGGTGAAATCCCTATGGGAGGGAATCGTAGTTTCCACCAGCCGAAGGATGGGTCTGAGCTCATGGCTTGAAGTCCCTTGGTGAAGGGCAACGCATCACCCGTCATCCGTAGGAAGTGTCCGGGCTCACAGTTTATTTTTTTTTTCTCTAATCCCCACCTCCTCCTTTAACCGCCTGCTTAAATCTTCCCCTAGCCACCGACATTCTACCTCTCATCCTCTTCCCCGCCATCGACCACCCACCCACTTTTTTGTTCAACCGTCGGCAACCACCCTCCCCTTCTTCCAACCGCCAGTCTTCTCCCCATCTCCACCACAAACTGCTACCTTTGGGTTTCCCAAAACCCTAGCCATCGGCCCCTTGAATCCAAGGTGGTCATTTCCTTTGCTACTTCCCAAAGTTAGGTTATGAAGATTGGGAGGCAAAATAATTCAAATTTTGAATTCAAATTCAGATTTGAAATCTTTCCTAATTTGGCATGATCTATATTTGGAAAGTTTTAAATCATTCAATTCAAAATTCAAATTTAAATATTATCGATTCCTCCTAATTTAATTAGCCTTATTTTGGGAAACCCATTAAACCTTTCCCTAACCCTACCTCTCTCTTTGAAGCCGCCAGCCCCCTCCCTCTTTCTCCCTCCATTCAATTAATTTCCTTACCCTTATTGCTCACCAATTAACTCCCATCCAATGTTTAAAATTGCGTATTCGGGTATTTAGGCGTTTTTCATTCATGAGGCAAGGCGTAAGCCTCAAGGCGTTTTGAGGCGTAAGCCTCAAAATCAAAAGATTGCGTAAACATAAAATGATAAATTTTTTATATACTAATGAGTGAATAATATAAAACATAAAAAAGCATAAGATATGAATTGAAATTAAAATATCTGAATAATAAGACAACAAGAAATATAGTTTAACTCAAAATTCTATCTTTTCCAAATCCCAGTATTCTTTTCATTAACATATAATTCCAATTTCCAAAAACAAATAGCAATGACATATAACATAAGAACTCATAAGTCATCAACACTGTCATGACTAAGGGGTTCTTCATTTGAATCATCATTATGATGAACTGCTCTCTCCCCTTCCTCCTCTCCTATAGAGTCTAATGTCGGGCATTTACTTCAAGATTTATGTAAGTTTTAATATATATATATATATAGCGTGAGGCGTAAGCCTCATGCCAGTAAGGCGAGGCGGGCCTTAACCAAGTTGAGGCGCAAGCCTCATAAAAAAAACATGAGGTGTAAGCATCGAGGCGTTTTTTACTGGAATTGCGCAAAGGCGGGCCTCAAGGCGAGCCTCATATTGCGCAATTTTAAACCATGCTCCCATCTCTTAATTTTGAATTTTAAATTTTGGAAGGTATTTAATCCCTTTCCTAATTTAGGATTCTAATTAAAGAATCATTCAACTACCCCATTATCATCTTCCTAATTTAACCCTATCTTATTTGGAAAGATTTTGTAATTCAAATTCAAATTCATTTGAATTTTAAAATTTTTCCTAAATATCCTACACCTATTTTATGAAATTCCCCTCAATTAGTACAAATCTGAATTAAATTATTGGATTTGAATTTAATTCTCCCTATTCAATGTATGTGGACACATACATTGAATGTAGACAATTCTCCCTCTCCTCTCTCTCTTTGGCCGGCCCTGATCCCTCCCTTCTCAATTAAATTAGAAAATTTTAAAAATTCAAATGACCCCTCCATCGTTCTACATCAGATGCTCACGTGATGACCTCTCCTAAGAAAGAAAAACTTCCATAAAGTGACAATTGTCTCAACAGCTAAAAGTTGACAATGGTCGATTCTAGATTTTCCGCAATGCCTGTGATCGACAAAGAAAGCTAAAGAGAAAACAAGTAATGGGTCATTCAAAGTATTAATTTACATTTGATGCATTTCATTATAAATTGATTGATAACAAGTGCAGATCAGTACTACAACAATAACAACATTAGGCATTTATCCTACTACGTGGGGTCAGGTAAATGAATCATTTTCTCAGTTGTCCTGTTAAGAGTGAAATTGTCATTTAAGTATAATAAAAAAGATCATTTATAATATTTTATAACCAAGACTTTTTAGATCTACCTCAAACTTTTTTAACATAGGTCAAATCTAATACAATTACTCTCCTATCCGGGTCATTAGAAGGCCGACGTTTTATGAGTTGAAACCATATAATGTAACTCTCACTAATCTTATCTACCACTGGAGCTACTTTTTGACCTCAATACTAATGTTGGTGTTGGTTCAACCGCACACGGTGAATTTTGAAAGCGAAAAAGCGCGACGTTGTTCATAACTCACCCAACGCACGATGACCAAAAACTCAAATCATCAAAATGCCTCTATTAGGTAAACAGAGAGCACTAGCACATACAGAGCATTGAAAATAGCTAAAGATCAACACCCATATCGATTGGGGTGTTCGATCAGCAAAAATTTAATTTCATGCATGTGCATCGAGGCAGCATTAACATGCACCGAACAACGATAACGTGACAACCAAGCATATGCACAATTAATTAAAAAATTTTGATCTTATATAATTATAAGTAATAATAAAGAGAGATGAAATAAAACTAATAATAATAATAATAATAATAAACCTAAATCCTAAAATACCCCCTCACAGTTTCACTTAAACCTTCACTACACTCATCCATACTCAACCACCTTCATCCATGAAGCCGGGATAACGCACACCCCCTTTCCTCTCTCAA